TGGATGGTTGTCTCTTTACCTTGTTGATAGTTTATTTGCTGAGCAGAAGCTTTTCAGTTTGATGTAGTCCCATTCATTTATTTTAGCTTTTACTTCCCTTGCTTTTGAGGTCAAATTCATAAAATCCTCTTTAAGTCCAAAGTCCTTGAGTTTAGTTCCTATGTTTTCTTCTATGCATTTTATTGTTTCAGGTCTTCTATTCAGGTCCTTAATCCATTTTGAGTTAATTTTGGTGTGTCGTGATAGACAACAGTCTAGTATCTTTCTTTTGCCACATAGGCAGTTTTAGATTTAATCCCGATTGTGAGATTTGCGGCTAGCCCCCTGATCTATCTGTACCTTGATTTTCTCTCTGGTAACAGTATTGGCATTATTCTTACTCCCTTCATTCCAGCCAATGAGGTGTCTTTTCGGTTCAGCTTTTTTTATGTGAGTGTTAACCACTATGAGTGAGTTGCTTCCAAAGCAGGCCTTGGATATGGCCCTTGGAACTCAGACACCATGACTCTCGTAGTCTTGTCATCATGTCTTCTAATTGGGAGGGACCTGTGGATTACAGACTGAGCTGCTAATGGCTCCGTTTTAGAACCTGAGTTCTATTGGATGTCATTTTTTTTTTTGGGTAGCCCCCATTCTCTGGTCTGAATCTGTTTGGACACCTATATGCACTAATCAAGTCAGCCTGTTGGGGATTACTGGCTATGCCCCCTTCCAGGCTGCAGCTCTGTCCTGGGCCAGTCGATCCTATTCCAGTTCTCTGAACTTCGGCAATTTTTTCATTTGTCAAACTGGCTTGTGCCGCTGAGCTCCAACCAGACTTGGATTTGGGTTTCAGAAATACAACAGAGAAGTCCAGGGGGAAGGCATTTCAAAGAGCCTGAGCGTCCAGGCTGGGGAAGGACTCTTTACTGAGTAGAGTATTTTCTCCAGCCAAAGAGTCTCCACAAAGCCCCCTTCATGTCCCTGTTCCTCAGGCTGTAGATAAAGGGGTTCAGCATGGGGGTCACCATTGTATACATCACAGATGCCACCACTAGTAGGAGGAAGCGGGCTGGTAATACACCAGAGAGAGTGTCCCATAGAAGAGAGTGACCACTGACAGGTGAGAGCCACAGGTAGAGAAGACTTTGTGCTTCCCCCCAGCAGAGGGGACCCTGAGGATGGTATGGATGATGTGGGCATAAGAGACCAGGACACAGGTGAGAGGGACCACACCTGAGAGGGCTGCCTCAGCAAACATCATGATCTGAAAAGCATGGGTGTCTGAGCAGGTAAGTTTGAGGAGTGGGAGAAGATCACAGAAGAAGTGTGGGATGGAATGAGAGGCACAGAAAGAGAACTGAGACATCAGGAGAGTGAGTGAGAAGGCCAGGATGTGAGAACAGAGCCAGGATGTGGTAACCAGCAATACACAGCGTTGGGGACATATGATTGTGGTGTAGTGTAGAGGAAGACAGATGGCCACGTAGCGGTCATATGCCATCACAGCCAGCAGGAAGTCATCTATCAGGGCCAGTGCTATGAAGAAATACATCTGCACGAGGCACCCAGTGTGGGAGATGGTATGGTGCTGTGTCTGGATGTTCACCAGCAGCTTGGGGACAATGGTGCAGGAGAAGCAGGTATCGATGAAGGACAGGTTGGCCAGGAAAAAGTACATGGGAGTATGGAGATGGTGGTCAGTACCTATGGCCAGAATGATGAGCAGGTTTCCCAATACTGTAACCAGGTACATACCCAGGAAGAGTCCGAAAAGGAGCGGCTGCTGCTCTGGGTGTTCAGAGAAGCCCAGGAGCAGGAAGTCAGAGACGCTGGTTTGGTTTCTAATTTCCTTTGAAGGCAGAGAAGTTAAAGAAGAATCTTGTTTGAATAAAGACTGGCTCTATATATTACAGAGTTCAAGGATTTCGGTCTGTTTTTCTTGATTCCTGGAAGAGGTCACTGAGCTTCTCTAGTAGCTATAAGGGCTGGTTTGCATACATGTACACATTTGAGGGCGGTGAACTATGAATATAAAACATCAGAATGGATATGTAGTTTGTGTTCTAGATTACTGAAATGTGGCAAGTTTCCCACATGGATTGCTTAAGTGAGACTGAAGTGGGATTCATGTAAAGAACCTCTTTAAATATAATTCTATAATTTTATAGAAACTTTAGAACTATAGTTTCTATAATTCTATACTTTAGTTTCTAAACTTTAGTTTCTATAATTTTATAGAAACTTTAGAACTACTTTAATGTTAATTTCATTACGTTATTGTCACGCTCATTTTGGAGTCTTGCATATACTAGGATTTACTGGGAAAAACAAGTTGCTCTTTGTGTATGTGTGTGAGTGTGTATTGAGGGAGATGGCAGCAAGACTGGTTTCTTCAGAGAGGAGCCAGTTTGGGTTTAGGGGTCTCTAAGTGGGCTGGGGGTGATCTGGCTCACTTTGTCATTGAAGATCCTTCCAGAGCATTAGTGTGTTTGCGGGAACGTTACAAAGTGAAAGGACCTTTATTATAGGGCACATAATTTTGATTTTAACATCAATCAATCTCACCATCAACGTCTTCTGTTTTAATATCTGGGCTTTGAAAATCTGGAGTATAGATGAGAATCCTTTCACTGTTTCTTATTCTTGGTCTGATCTTGGTCAGTTACTTGACTTTGAATCCATATTTTCTAGTTCGTAACCATGTGTGACTCCTTCATAGAGTCATTGAAGTGATGATAAAAAAATATACATATATGGGGGCACAGTGCTATTAGGAGGAATGATGTAATTGTCACGGTCAGCAGTAGTTGGTGAAATGTGACCCTGGGACACACGACGCCCTGGAAAAGCATCGGACGACCTGCTTCCAGCTCTGTTCCTTATGTGTCTTTTAATCTTGGAAACGGTTTACTCCCTCTGACTCTTCCTTTACTTATCTATCACCTATCGATAACAACCCTACCTGATGGGCTTGTAGAAGAGACCAAATGCTGGAATCAGTAGAAGGTGTTTATGAACCATGATGTGCAATGAAGATGAGAAATTCCAGTGTTCCTGTTCGATAGTGTGGAGGAATAAATGCAGTGAGCTGTCAGTGGCAGCATGTGCTAATGTCACCTTTATTTAGTGTCATGATTAAAAAGATAACACACTCTCTGGAGTCTGACAGAATTCTCCCACTCTTACTCTTGATGTAATCAACATTTTTTGCCTTTCGTTTCTATACCTGCTTGAATGGAATAATAATAGAATTAAATGGATAGGTTGGTTATGAAGCTTAAATTAGATTAGAAAATGATTGTATAATATATTGATGTCAGCTGGCACATATTGTGTCAATAATATGATTTGTTATTATTTTGGCTATTTTTAAGAAAGTGATGGTGCTTTGTTGTTGTGTCCTGGTCACTGCCTGTAGGTTGGGCTTGTAAATTGTGAGATGTCAGTATAGAAGTCATTATCATCATCATCATCAGCAGCAGCAGCACCACCTTTGAAGGATTATGACTCTACTCAAATCTTCTGATGGCAAAGCATTTGTTTTGGCATGTGGAAACCAAGTGTAAAGGTGGTCTGATAGCTTATTCCTAAAAGGCCCCTATTATTAATTGTATAATGAGAATAAATAAGTCTATCTTAGAAGTTATTTGATGGCTCAAGTTCTAAGAAAAAGAAAGGATGCGACCGAGGTTAGTAAAGTTTAAGTGGATGTAGAGGGGGGTTAATTACTGGTAGGTACCTGGTTTGATGCTTGAGAGTGAATTGAGAAACATGCCTGCCTGAGGGGACTGAGAGATTTATGCTTTGTTGGCACACAGGTGCTCCCTCAAGTTACTGATGGGCTTTGGGGAAGGTTGTCTTAAACCCGATCTCCAGTATACTGTAAGTCTCACAATTAGGGGTGTGATGAACACCAGAATTAGATGCCCCTCATGGTGAACAGAAGAGCCAGAAAATGGTGGGCAAAAGGGATAAGGGAAAAGGAAAAAGGGAGAAGAAACTCAATGGGTTGCACGTGTGTTTTCTATGGGCAGTATGTGTGCCTTTGTGTGCACAGGTGAGCCTTTGGTAGACTCCGCTCTCTCTCCCCATCGCCATGCCTCAGTTGTTACCTGGAGATACTGGCCACCTTCAATCTGTGACACTTCCAAGTGGGAGATTGGGTTCGCTGTCAAATTGTCTGCCTAAGAAATCATGTCAGGAGTTGTAGAGCAGAGACCGAAGACTCAGATTTTTAGTGGTAGTTCAGGCACAGGAGCCAGGAGGAGCTCTGACTTTTCACGGGTAGGTGCCT